AAGCGTATCTACTTCTTCTGTTGTTGGCAGGTCTCACCGCGACATGACGAATATCGGTCTGGTAAAGGCAAAGGCAAGGGTAAAGGCAAAGGGAAGGGTAAGGGCAAAGGGAAGGGTCGAGACGTAGCACCAGATAAGGGTCACGGCAAGGGATGGAGCCACGGAGCGAAACGCTCCTGGCACACGGAGGAGCACATGGAGAGCTTCAAGGCTCGTAAGACAGCGGAGGTAATTGGGCGGAATGACGGAGGGTTGTTGATGGTAAATGTTGTACTCAATGGATATAATCTTCTGAAGATTGTTAGACTGAAAAATGGTAGTATAGCGAACAGTAGTCGTAAGTGGCAGTGAATGAGTCGCAAGGGACAGCCCGTACTACTGCGACAGCTTAAGCTCATTTTAGGGAGGACGTTCGAAAGTGTGTGACATGGGGATCGGTAGTTCCGGGATGAACTCCTTGATTTCCACACCTTTGCGGTCTGACGATCACTTGCTGTTTTCAGGACTCGAAGACGTTTGATGAGGAAGGAGGAGCGCCAGTCCAAGTCAATTCGAAGAATGAACCGGTAAGAGATGGGTCTCCAATGTGGAGTAGAAAATGACGGCCTCAATAGAATTGAATCCGCTACAGAAATGAGCCCAGTCGACGAGTCACGATTTCAGTCCTTCCCGGAAATTCTTGATCGCAATGTGCATCATCCTGGCATCAACTGTATAGTAGATGAAGTCGCCGGACTCTTGTCTCTATCAGAAAAATAACTGAGTCATTGTACTGAAATAAGCTCAGGGCTCATTTGCATAGGCGTCTTCTTCGGCGTTGTTTTGAGTATCGCTTGCTGTCTTAGATATCCGCATTGAAGCAACTTGAAGCGCCATCGAATCATCCGTCCTGGGCTGCGAAGGCTGCTCCCTCACAGAGAGGCACTCTAACCAAGTTCGAAGGTGCTAGGACGACCTTCGACGACTCGGACAGTGATTGAGCGCCTTTCCCTACCAACGTTAGAAAAGTATAGTTAGTGTTTCCAGTTAACTTGGAACTGTTTTGTGAGTCGAAGAGTTAGAAGGCTCAGCAACGGTAATGATTCCCGTAGGTCTGACCAACTGCATTCTCATCGCCCATCTTCGTGAATGACACTGAGCCATGGAAATCAAAAGTTTCGATGAGGGGTGTTTGCACGGTACATTCACTAAGAAACTACAGTCGGTGGGTCCATATGAGTTCGGTGTTGGAATTGGTCGATCGAAGGCGCGTCTATACAATACACTCCTTCCCTGCCAAATCGAGAACTATCCTGATGGAACTATCCTATCGTGATGCTTCACTACATACTAAAAATGCATCGTGATGACACCGTCCATGACCTGCATGAAAGAAACTCGTGCGATGTGAAAGCCGAACGACTGTATCGACGCAACTCTTTCGATCAATACTCATCCACTCGTTATCAAGATAGCATGCGATACCGCGGCATAATCTCGAAATAT